AAACGGTCATCTCCCACGGAACCAGTGAAGCGGAAAATGGAAAGCGGGGATAAGTGAAAGTACTCGAACGACCTATAAATAGTCATCTCTCGGAGGAATCAGTCCAGTCATCACCCGAAGACGATTGTAGATACTAATAATCGAAACGTCGTGAACTAACGTGACTTGGAATCTCCAGTTTTTATTTTTTTTCTTTTTTCATTTCTTTATTTTTATTTATTCAATTGTTTTATTTTTACTTGTATTTTATTTCACTATTATTTCATTTCAGGTTTATTTTGGTTAATATAATTGTTATTTTCAGCTATTCATTTTTAATTCTTCTTTTTTAGTTGTTTCAGGGATTTCAAATGGAAGTCCGAACTAGTGAAATTTTTCAGGTCATTGTTTTCAGTATTCTATACCTAGTTCAACTGATTTTTCAGGGTGCCATTATTGACAGATTCTCCTGAAAGAATTGAGTGCGAGTTTTGGATGGCAACAAAAAAAAATGGAAAGTGCATTGAAAAATCTTTTGTGAACGAGGAAGGATTTTGTGCAAAAAGTGATTTACATTAGCTACCTAATGTTCTATGGAACCCTTGAAGGCTTTTGACATACCTCACTTTCCTGAAAAACAAGAGTATGAGGTGTGGAGAAAATGGTAAGAACAGGTGAAAAAATAAAACATCAAATCACTATAGATCACAATGATCTACCGTTAACGTCAAGTCTCGCAGTAAACTTGGATTTCCCGGCTGCATTCGTTACCAGACAAACATACTCGCCACGGTGATGTTTCTCGACAGAATTTATATTCAGGATACTAGCTTGACTCCCAAAGGCAGATGTTGAAATACCTTTTGAATGGTGAGTAATATGGTGACCATTATGGTACCATTTTATTTTGAGAGGACGATCGCCTTGTGGAACATAACATGTTAAAATCGCACTATCGCCAGCATTCAGAGGACCATCAAATTGAAAAGGGCTTATTATAGGTGCCACTGCAAACAATAATGACAAGGAAATGAGAAAACAATAACACAGGGGAATGCTCCCAAGCTTTGCTGACAAATTGAAAACAAATAACACACTGTTAATGTTAAATGGTGTTCCTGGCTGTAAGAAAGCACGAATCTATAACATACAACAAACCATGTCTTACCTTAACTTTTAAAAAACACAGCTGAAATAAATACAAAATAGAATAACATCATACGTGATTTTTTATTGTTCACAAGAAATTACTCACTCTTATTGTCTACAGTATTTAAGAACTCCCTAAAGAGCATTCAATAATTTTCCTACAGCTGTAATATTTTCAAAATTGAAAAATTTCTATTTGAGAATTTACTCTGGTCTTATTTTCAATAGGTTGATTCACACTGAAATGTAAAGGGTTGGGTGGAAGAACAATCTAGTGGAGTATGCCACTTCTTCTTTTTCCTCAAATAAAAAATTGTAAATATTTTTGATAGTTTTTACTCTTGAAAAAGTGGAGACGATCATCATTATTATAATATCATATTTCAAACTCTGGTTTGTGAAAATGAAATCAATTTTTTCATTATCAAATCTACAAGAATGCCTAATTATCTCAGCTATTGAAAATACTCAACAGAATATTTAGATTTCCAGCTCTACATTTCCTTTATAGTCTGGTTCACATGTACTCGATTTAGCTCTTTTTGGTGACATTTTTCAGCCCTGTCCAAAAATTACGGCCAAGGTGTTATTCGATTCGTATTTTTGCCTAGAAAGTTCAAGGAAAGGTCCGAAAACGCGCCGATAAAATTACAAAAGTTATAAACAATTAAGTAAAAAAAGGGGCTTTATAGTTTTTTCTTAATATCTCGGAAAATTTAAAAAATTTTGGAAATTTGAAGAAAGATTTGAAAAGATCAATGAATTTGCGTAACAAAAGTCCCGACTTCCGAAACTGTATCTCGATTATTTATAATTTTTACAGAGCCCTGAAAATAGAGCCAAAAGCGGGTAGTCTGGCTTCCGCGCGCCTTTCGTCACTCTGTTTTGAATTTCCAAAAAACATTACATGTTTATATTAGAGTCTTCCAACAGGGATATCCGAACTTTGACAATTGATAGTGGTCATCTTGTTGAAGCTTCATCTGTCAAATTGGTTGTAATTTAATCAGTCTGTTTTGCCAAAACACATGCATATTTGGAAATGGTGTATTTCTCTAATATCAAATAATGTTCTAGGTGTAAACAGATTGCTGATCCATTCCCTCGGATTTAGCTTATACAGTGTGTAAATTCCAAATGGTGTAAATTCACTATTTCAGTAACGCTACATATTTTAACAAAATTCCAAACACGTCAAATTTAAATTAAAATTTACATATTTTAACGGAAAATAACTACACCAACCTTCAACCCCCGCCGAATGACAGGTACAACCCCCAATTTTTTAAATGGGAAGTAAAGGCTTGTGATATATCATTTGAAGATCTCTCCATCCTCTCTTCAAAAATGTTATCGCTCTCAAGTTTATTGCAACAATTAAGTGGTTACCGAAGTTCCATAAAATACACTCAAAGCTTATTGCAATATACTCAAAACTTATTTCATGTTGAGGAATTGATAATAAAAAAGTAAGCAAAAACCATAGCAATGTTTTTTTGGATAGTATTCATTAAAAAACTGTTTAACTGATTTCCACGGCAACGTTAGTTTAAAACGCCTTGTCAACTTGTTTTGCATGTTACAACATTAGCAGTATTTTAATTTAGGTTTAAAGTTCGTTAACTTCAAGTCTGACAAATGGTTAGATTAAAGGAAATGCATAAAATAACAGTTTTATAAATGATTGGTTACGGAAATAAAATCTGAACACAACAGGTAATGTAACAGTAACCGATATAATGAATTTATGCCATTTGGCTTTTACACACCCTATACGAGTATACATACATTTTATAATTTTGATTTGTAACCGTTGTAAATGTTTCAAATGACAGAAATCAGCTGTTGCCAAAATTGATGTCAGATGTTGAAGATTCAAATGAATTGAAAAATTAAAAATTGTTTTCAAATATTAATTTTTTTTTAACTTTTCACTTCGATGTTCTTTAGAAGCGTGTTTTTTAGTTTTTTAAACTATATTCATTAGGTTTCTGTCTCAATGTTCCTTGATTGTAGGAATGTTTCCTTTTATTGGTGAACTGATGGTAGTTCTTTTAATACATACTTGTTTCATGTTTATATTTCTGCAGCTTTTAATGCTGTTTGACATACAATTGTTCTTTCACTTACGACCTGATAATGGTTCTTTTAATATATACTTATTTTCTCGGTATAGCTGTAGCTCGTAGGTTCTGTAATGACTAGTAATGTGTGCCCTTTATAAATTTGTATGGATTTCGGTGATGAATAAATGTGATTCGATTTTAATAGTTTTTCATTAAATATCGGCCAGTTCCATCACATATTTCTAATAATTTTTATAAGACAGAAATTCATCATTATGTAACTGATATATTGATCTGATTTACTCATAACTCAATTTACCTCAGTACCTTCTATTGGATATATCATAAAAAAGAGGCATTTTATGTGTTCAATTAGTTTTACTACCTAATGAAGATAAACACTTCAAAATCCAATTCAGGTATAAGAAATCAAGTGAAAGATTTTCTTTTTTTCTGATTGTTGCAGTAGCCTCAGCCTAAATTTCGTCCAGGACTGATTTTCTGTCCTCATTGTACTTCGCTCAGACAAAATTTATTGATAATTCATAAGTTTTGAACAGCAAAATAAAAATAAACCTCTACTCACCCATTACTTGTACTTCGAGCGATCCCCTGGCACTGTAGCCTTGTGAATTTTTCGCCACACAGTCATAAGTAGCCTGATCAGATGTCCGTTCCACATTCTCTATGATCAAAGTCCCATTTGGAAAGACTTTCTGCTTCCTATTGATCGGCAATAATCGACCGTCTGTGAATCAATTCATTGAATCTACTATCATTACAAAATATTACTGATAACTACCTCTCTCCCAAACAACTGCTTCCACGGGATGACCAGCAAAGGGGCAATGAACAATGAGCATTCCTCCCGCCACAATCGCCTGTTTCTCCATCGACCTCACAAAAGGCAAACCGTATACATTGATTCTTGCTGAATGGTCGGCCGAACCAACTTTGCTACTGGCAATACACTTATAGAGACCGCCATCATTTGTATGTATAGCAGTGATATTCAAATGGGACACCACATCACCGTTAACCGTAACATATTGACCAATTTGATATACATCGTTGTTCGAGAGTCTCCTTCCGTATAATTCCCAGGTGATTTCAGGAGTGGGATTTCCAGAAGCGATACACTTCATGAAGACTGAGTTTCCAGGTTGAACAGTTTCCTCGTTGAAAGCGTGTCGGATTTGAGGAGGCTCGAATCTTCCACCAAGTTTCAGTTCCGCTGTCGCTTCTGCGCTTTCTTGATCATTCCTGATGAAACACTGGTACATTCCCTTGTCTTCTTTCCGAACTGCTTCGATACGTAAAATAGCGTCAGTGTGATCGATCGGATTTCCATCTTTGAGCCAGCTTATAGTTTTGATTGGGTTTCCTGAAAATGAAATAGTATTAGAGTTTAATGAAACCGGTATTCATCGCGGACCGACCTTCGAATTTACAAGTGAATACAGCAGGCCTGCCGAAGTCAATGGTCTGTACTGGTGGGTCGATTTTTGCTTTGAGTGGTGCGGTGACTGTCAAAACTGTTTCTACACTTTCTCCTCCAACTGAATTATTGACAACACATAAGTACTTTCCAGAATCTTCCACTTTAGCTTCACGTATGATCAGTGTTCCAGCTACTTGCTTCACCCTATCGTTCAAAACCACTGCCTGTTTGCGGGTCGTTCCCTCAATGAATTTGTACCATCTGGAACAAAGAGAAAGTTTTTCAAATAACCGGGATTTACTATAGGATTTTTGCTTTTCATATGATATTTACGTAGAATTTTACCTAAAAAAGGGTATAGGGAAAGATTGCGCAGGACAAAGAGCAACTGCAGAATCATTTGACTTGACAATTTTTATGTCAATTGTTTTTGTACTGACTCTGGGAATAACTGATCCTGTAGGTTCTGAAAATAGAAAAAAGTGTAACATACCTTGCTCTGGGCTACCCTTACATCCAGCATAAACTGTTAACGACCCCTCATTGATAAAATTAAAGTTGTACCTTTCTTATTGAGCTGGAAATTGAATATCTGAACCTAGCACCCTCATACTTACACAATGTATTGGTTTAGATTGGAATAACCTGCTAACTGGACTATAAGAATCTAAAAAGTGATTTACCTATATCTAGGAACAGGATACCCAGAAACATCACACGTTATAAAAACATTACTTAGCAAAGAAACTTCCTGAACTATGCTTCCATCAATTTTTCGACCTGAACTCTTTGGCGGCACGTTATTGGTGGGTTCTAAGGAAAAAATGTAGCCTTAACAACTAAAAAGTACCTGAATTTGGGAGCTGGGTATCCAGTTACTTCACAAGTCAAAATAATATCCTTCCGAATGGCACCCAGAAGAAAAATATTGCCGTATTTCTCAGAGGAAGATTTCGGGGCAACATTGCTTGTGGGTTCTACAAAATGTTTGTTAAAAATATCAAGTCAAAATCAAATCCCTGTCCTGTGAGTCGGGGTACCCAGAAGTGTATTATTTGTAAGTGATCGAGGAAACTGGAACAGGAAGATTGGACTTACTTGAAAGTGGGCAGTGGAAATCCCACAACTGGACACAAAAGAACTGCATTGTTTCTTTGTGGAAAGGATAATATCTTTCCCAGTGTTCTTTCTCCTACGAGCTTGGGAGGTAAGTTGTTTGTTGGTTCTGCAAAAAGTCAGCAATTAGGATTCTGATTTGAGTCTTTATAAAGTATTTGTCAGAATAGCCACACTGTTATAGCAGCCTGGCTTATCAACAAAACAAACAAATGCACCGACTTCATGATAAAAAGAGTTTCATAATTCAAAGAGCATTTGTAATCATTTACTTCAAATAATAATATTAAATAATTAAAAAATGACGATAATTAGTCACAGTGAATGCCCTATTCGAGTGTTTTTTTTAATAAATTTTACTAAATTATTGAAACTCCAAAATATTACAGAATCCTAAAGTGACAGATGCAGAACACTTACCACACATAGACATTGAGAATGTTGATAACATATGGGCTGAAAAATCCCGGGCCTGAGAAAGAAAACGCTTTTTTTTTCATTAGCTTCATTCATCAACGTAATCTCTATCAAGAGCGGCACCACTTTTGTGGTGCCACACCAAAAGTGTGGTGCCACTCATAGTCCAATGCTCATGCAATACGAAGCCAATACGATCTTCTGATATCTTTACAATGTCAGCTAACTTCACTTTTCGATAACTCAAAAAAAATTTGTGGATTTGTTTATGCTTTCTGGTGCAACTGCCTCATTTGGAAGACCACTGCTTTATACATCATAGATGTCTCTACGACCACGATTGAAGTCAGCAAAACAACGTTCAATTGTTGCTTCTGATGGAGCGGAATCCTAATAACACTTTTCAAGCCATTGCTTAGCTTGAACGGTATTTTTCCCCTCAAGGAGCAGTGAAAATTAAAACACGAAATTGTTTTTCATCCATTGTTTTGAAAATAACAAAAGTAGTGTCACTCTTAGCACAATAACTCACAAACTTATGAGAAGAATATCATGGAATTTCAACAGTTTCCTTTTGGAGGTTAGTACTAACTGAAAACCGGTGAATTCAATGAAACTAGCGCCATCTATGTGTTACGCCCGAGACTTCAGCCCATGTAGGTAGTGTAAGAATTCACTGGCAAACTTACATATAAATGGGTACAGGGTAGCCAGTTACCTGGCACGTTAGCCAGGCAGTGTTATTCCTTAGTATTATGATGTCTTTCCAGCCCGTAAATTTCTCTCCGTCTTTTTTTGGAGGGACATTATTGGTAGGCTCTACAAGGACATTGCAAATGAATCAACTGTACACAAAATGCTACCCAAGTTCTCAAACGAATTCAGAAATCATTAATACTGAAAAACTTACAAATATCGAGGAACTGGGTATCCTGCCACTTGACAAGTCAACCAAGCAGTATTACTCTGGGGAATAAGAAGGATTTCCCAACCCTCAAATTTTTTGCCATCTTTTTTAGGAGGGACATTATTGGTGGGCTCTACAAATAAAAACAATATTTTTCTATGACACAGCCAGAAAATATCTATGGTTTCTTAATCAATAATCATGTATATAAATTTATCTAGCTTTGTGACCAACAATGTCAAAGCCTAATGTAGAAAAAACTTACTTACAAATATCGAGGAGCAGGGTAACCAGTAACTTGACAAGTTAACCACGCAGTAGCATTTTGTGCAACAAGGAGTAGTTTCCAGCCTTCGAATTTCTCACCATCTTTTTTGGGTGCTACATTATTAGTGGGTTCTACAAGTGAAATGAAGAGACAAGCGAAAATTAACTTACAAATAACGTGGAACTGGGAACCCAGTAACTAAGTCAACCAGGCTGTTGTACTGGTGGCAATGAAAATTTCCTCCCAACCCACAAAATTTGATCCTATTTTCTTGGGCGACACATTGTTAGTTGGCTCTGGAAATTGTACATAATGAAACGCTCACCAATATGACAATAGCACCAAACAAGGAAGGTTTGTACTCCAACGGAATGTAGGAATGATTCGGAAAGACAATCGAGGGGGTTGATTAATAATAGCTTCCCAAACTGAACCTTTCAAACATTCAAAACTTACAAGAATCGAGGAACAGGAAATCCTGTCACTTGACATGTCAACAATGAATTAGAACCTTCATCAACAGTGACTACTCTCCACCCTCCAAACTCGGCACCTACTTTCTTTGGAGGAATGTTATTTGTGGGTTCTGAAAAAATATTGGATACGTGAGAAACCTACCTGAACATTGGCACAGGGTAGGGCACATAACAAATACATCCTCACCATTGTTTGCAATAATAAACGTGACTCGAACTTCATTATCAACAACTCTTGATGAGATGTTGTTTGTCAGTTTTGAAATTTGCAAGAAAAAAATTGAATCCAATATAAATTACCTGAATATAGGAACAGGGTAGCCAACAACTTCACAAGTAAGGACAGCTGTTTTGTTCTGAAAGTAGTCATAAATTTTACCCCCGTCATACTTTTGTCCAGGCAGCTTTGGAGGAATTTTTCCGGTAGGTTCTAGAAAAACAATCGAAGGAAGGCATGTTTTTGAACGACTTGTTAAACCTCTGCTTACAACTGAATAATGTTATTTCAAAAACAACGCAAATTTACCTAAAAGATGGAGCAGGATATCCTTGTACATTACAAACCAGAAGGGCCAGAGAGTTTAAAGGAATTTCTTTCTTCAAACTACCAACGTCCAAATCTTTTACCTTCGGAGCAACACCTGCTATGGGCTCTAAAAATGTAAACTTAATTCACCTCCCTGAATAAAATGTTGAGGCATATTTCTTTTTACCAACCTAAATACTGGGAGAGGTAGAGCTTGTGCGGGACAAAGTAGCGCCAAACTATTATTAGCACTCCTTTCGAAAATAAAACCCTTCGAATCAGAAGGAAATGCGGGAGGTTTAGATCCTAGGGGTTCTGAAAACAAATGGAAATAGGTAAATAACATTTTCCTACCTGAAAGAAGGAGTGGGTAACCCTTGAGCTTGGCACAATAAACCAAAACTGTGTCCTTCTTGTCTTATGAATGTGGAGCTTTTTGAATCTGATGAAAAAGTTGGTGCTTTGGAACCTATGGGTTCTGTATAGAAAAAAGTGAGCACAAAATAGACTAACTAACCTGAATGTCGATGAAAAGGTATCTTACTTGAAATATGGTGCCGGTAAAGCTTGGGCAGGACAAAGCAATGCCAAACTTTTTCCTACTGCTCTATCCAGCGAGAAAATTTTGGATTCCACTGAGAAAGCAGGCGCCTTCGATCCAACAGGTTCTAATGAGCAACTAAGTCTATTAAAAAATGTACAACCAACCTGAACTTGGGTACAGGGTTTGCCTGAGCATCACAGGGTAATACCAAATCTTCACCCAACTTTTCATATACCGCATCTAATTTAGACTTTGGTGGAAGCCTTGGGGGTGTGGAACCAATTGGTTCTGTTGGAGGAAATATACAAATACAAACAAATGAGCAACCTCTTACCGAAAATTTGGGGATGGGTACGCTTGAGCTAAGCACAATAAGCCAAATCCTTGTCCGATACTTCTTGTATACGATATACTGGTCGCATCATTGGAAAAAGATGGAGCTTTATACCCAATAGGTTCTAAACAAATCGAAATGAAGGAAATGACAGGCCATCGAATGTTCCAAGTTAATAATCCCATAATTACCTGAATTTTGGAATTGGCAGAGCTTGTGCCGGACACAGGAGCACAAACCCTTGCCCTCCTGGAGTCTCATAACTAAAACTTTTGGACGTTGAAGAAAAAGTCGGGACTTTGAAACCCACAGGTTCTAACGAAAATAAATTAAATTAATACTGAACACAATAATACCTGAACATAGGTGAGGGGTAACCTTGTGCTGGACACAGCATTGACAACGTGTTGTTTTCTCCCTTTTCATAACCCAGCAATTTTATATCACTTGAAAACGATGGAGCCTTTGATCCAACTGGTTCTGTTTTGTGAAAACATACATTAAAATAACTAACCTGAATTTGGGAACTGGCAGCCCCTGAGCTTGACAAAGTAGGCCAAAGCTTTGACCGACAATTCTATTGAAAGCATTAATGAGATTATCATTGGAAAACACCGGTCCTTTGACTCCAACAGGTTCTGAAGAAAAATTTCAAATTACCTGAACATTGGTACAGGGTATCCTTGTGCAGGGCAAAACATAGGAATAGATGACCTCGCGTCTCTTTCAATATACTTCAGTTTCGAATCGGCTATTAGTTTTGGTGCTCTACTTTCAACAGGTTCTAGTAATACAAAAAAAATCACCTGAATGTGGGAACTGGGAAACCTTGAGCTTGACAGAATATGGGCACATCACTTTTCAACTTTCTTTCAGTGCGTTTGTATTTCGCATCATCTATCACATTAGGAGCTCGAGTACCAAGAGGTTCTGAAGAAAATAATTGAGAAATAGATTTACCTAAAAGATGGAGCAGGAAATCCCTGTGCTTGGCATAACAGAGACAGCCCATGGCCAGAGCGCTTTTCTATAGTTATTCCCTTAAGATCATTTACAAGGCTTGGTTTTCTGGTACCAACAGGTTCTTCCCGAAAAAACTAAGTGTAAGAACCAAATTTGTATCTACCTGAATGTCGGTGGGGGAAAACCTTGACCGTGACAAATAACTGCAATATCTGAGCGTTCTTCGACATCAAACCACATCATCTTAGCATTAGAGATCAATTTGGGAACCCTTGTGCCAACAGGTTCTAAAATATCATTCAAGACGTTTCAAGTAACTAACCTGAAATAGGGAACGGGAAACCCTTGTGCTGGACAAATCAACGCCAAGGTCGAATTTACTTTATACTCGATCACATCGTATTTGGATTTTGATGATACTTTCGGCATAGTACTACTTATTGGTTCTGTTGAAAAATTAATTAATCGGGTTCATTACCTTACGACAGGGACGGGGTAAGACTGAGCAGGACACATTATTGTAATACTGTTTAATGAAGATGTTTCAAAAGCATGGCTTTTGTCGACTGTGGGAAACTTTGGCTTTACAAATCCAACTGGCTCTGCAAGAAAGTTCGCATGAAGATAGATATTGGAAAGGTTAAAAAAAGTTGACCAAAATACCTGTAACTTGGAACAGGAAATGCTTGCGCTGGACACAAGAGTGTCACACTGACACCATGCCGTGACTCTATTGTTTGAATTTTCGAAGTACCTGCAGATAATCTAGGAGCCACACTTCCGACAGGTTCTAATAATGGAACACGTATCTAAATCTATGTATTCGATGATTAGTCTTACCTGAACCTTGGGATAGGAAAACCTTGCATTGGGCAAAGCATAGTCAAAGAAACTTGCACTTTAGCTTGGACAACTCTGCTGTCATCACCAGAAGTCAGTTTTGGAGTTACAGTACCAATGGGTTCTAAATGCAAGGCGGAAAAAAATAACATGAAAAAGGATAAGGTACCTCTCAGAAAGTTTACCTATATAAAGGTGCTGGAAAAGCTTGAGCGGGACAAAGGAGGGCTATATTCTCTCTGGACTTGTAGTTGTCAACCGTCGGAAATTTGGGAATGTTCGGTCTAACACTACCCACGGGCTCTGGAAGAGATAAAATTTCTCACACTCAAGAATCCAGAGCGAATATGAATCCCGATTTCAAAAAGATGGCCAACTAACTCCTGACATTCCAAGAGGAGCAACACATGTTTTATTGAATTACCTGAATTTTGGAACAGGATATGCTAATGCAGCACACAAAAGGGTGATACTACTATTCACCATACCCTTGAAAGATCGCGAGCTATCTAGCGTGGGAAATTTTGGAAGAACGCTGGCCACAGGTTCTTGAAGTAAAAATTATCGTCAGTAGAAATACCTTGAAATTTGTTGGTATAGGGACCATGCTTGAAATTAATCAAATACCTTGTCGAAAGTAGTGGAAACCCTTGAGCTGGACATAATAGGTTAAGACTGACATTTTGAAGATAAACATGCTCCTTTCTGGTTTCCAGGGGAAACCTTGGCAGTACTGATCCGATAGGTTCTAGAATAAGAAAAACCAAAACACTCCTTACCATTATTCGTTAGATGAAGAAGAGGAATATTAATATCTAGATACTGCCAAACTTACCTCGACCACAAAAAAGGGGGCCAAGCCCAAAGCATAATGGGCCAGGGTACCCAAAAAGAATGAATGAATACTAACCTGCCAGAAGTTTCCCAAGTTTAATCTATCAGAAAAGGATGCGGTTGTTGGATAAAAGGACAGGTACTATTGTCAATTTTGAAACTTTGAAAAGTGCCCGTTTGAGAAGCAAGGGTACCCTATCCCAACATTCAGGTAAATTTTGGTTGAACTATGATGAAAGATGAGGTACATCTTTAATCAAAATTCATATATAATACAAATGATATTGGCAAAAATTTTCAACTCCAAAGTACCAAAAATTATGAAGCCCCTGGTGTAGGACGAATCCAACAGAAACACTTTTCCCACAAATTACTATAGATTATCTCCCGAAGTTGGAGAAACGCGCGACAAGTATGGTTTAACTACAATCTGGAGTATGGGAGAAGAATTTCGTTGCATCCTCAGTTCAGTATTTGTATCTACAGAATTGTACCTTATAAAAATAAATATATCCGAAATACAAAACATCTGAATTATGTTGCAGGAATATTTGAAGACGTATGACTATTCGAAGTTTTTTTAAATCAAAAATATCTTCTAACCAGGAATCAGC